GGTTAATGTGAATGTATTAAAAGTGCTTAGGGAGGTTAGTCACTATATCAAAATATATCCTACCCGTCCCTTAGCCTACATTACAACCAAGTGAAGTCCTAATTGATCTTAGACTGAATGGGCTCGATTAGTAGAGTAGTACACTACGGGCAAGCCTATGGTGCGTCTTTGTGGCATGTGAATGTTCTTTTTGAGAGTGAGCGAATTTATTCTATCTAAGTTCCTAATTGTCTTAATATTAATATTTGTGGAACTACTCTCTTGTGTGATGTGAGGGCATGTGATTCACGAAGGAAAGGTAAGTCTTGACTTTTGTATAGAGTAATTTGAGTAAGTACGAATATTGCATGACACGTGAGAGTCGACTTTTGAGGCAAAGATTGTTCACTACTAGGCGTAACCTTGGTGATTTATTCTTGGTGTGATACTTTAAGGGAAAAGGCTTAGTGAAGGAACCTTTATAGAGTGTGGTGGATTTCTCGAGGACTAGCAATGAATTAAGTGTGGGGTGTTGATAATAGGCTAGATTCATGTAATTTGGTGACTGTCTATGCCCCAGCTTGACTATATTTCACTATTATAGGATAGTTAAATGATGATAAATTGGCTCTAATTGTGAATTTCATGTTTTGCAGGAACAAGTTGCGTGTATGAGGACTTAGAACTGTGATTGGAGCTAAATTGAAGCAAGGGAAGCCCCTCGAAGCTGAGTACGTTGGAAAAAAGAGAGAAAAAGAGCTGAAATGATGACCCAGACTAGCGTGCCCACTAGCGCGACCGTGCTAGCCCAGGTGTTCGAGGCAGAATGTTATGCCATATACGCGGTCATTAGCACGCCTAGTATCGCGACCGCGCTAGTAGAGTTCCGAAAAATAGAGTTCAGGGGTAAACTTGGAAGTTCGGGGGTAATTCCACTTAACCTATAAAAGGTCCAGCTCGCCCAAAGGAACATTATCAAGGTTTTATAGCTTAGTTGAAGGCAAGGAGAGGCAAGAGGCAAGGAGGATAATTCAACATCGAGTTCTTTCTTTCTTCCTTTTGTATTTTACAATTTGTGATGAATTTTTCTTTTGCTATGATGAACACTAGTATGAGTAGCTAAATATTTAGTCTAAGGTTTTGATGGAACCTATTGAAGGATGAACTTCGTGATATGTTAATATAGTTTGCCCGGTTTATTCTCTATTTGTTCAACTTTGTTCTTGTTGTTGTTAATTGATAGGATCCTCAATTAGCTGTGCCTATTTAGTATGTATTACTTGGGAGAGAGTGCATATTTAGGTAATTGTTGAACAATATCACTCCCAGAGTATATGAGGGATCAATAACCGAGGGTTTAAAGGCGGGATTAAGGATAATGAAGCCTTGGGTGCAATCTTAAGTGAGCTGTAACCAGCTAGCGTAACTCGGGAGAGTGCGTCTAGTAAATTATCGTGATTACTCGGGAGAGATTTATGGTAATAAGAGTGCTCATGATTGATAGAGACGGTTAGGCAAATCTATATGAAACATAACATGAAGGGATTCCATCAATAGGGGAAATCATAACCTTAGATCCTTCTCTTAATTTTTTTACAACTTAATCATAGTTAGTCTTTGTTTATTTAATTGCAGTCAGTTATAGTTAGTAAAAATATCCTCAATTGTTATTCAAAACATTTGGGAAGTGATTACGTAGAATTTAGTGAGTCTAACAATAGTAATTGATAGGTTAATTCCTTGTGGGTTCGACTCTGGGCTAAATACTCAGATTATATTTACAACGTCCGCTTAGTCCTTTTTATAAGGCATAGTTGGGCGTGATCACTATACAAATAAAAAAATACCACAATAAAGTGGATGTTTATTGATATTAAAACCCATATCATAATAAACTTGGAGTTTATTGATAATTGCATACGTCATGGTATAAACCTGAACTTTATCAATATTGATAATTTATCTTGTTGGCATAACTAGTTTAGCCATATCAATTTATGTATGATGTGCAAAAATAAAAGAGAGTTCATATGGGTAAATATTAAAGAACTAGACAGTCTTTACGAATTCTCTTATATTGCTTGTTCTCATTAGTTAATAGATCAACTAAAATTGGGATTGAATCCCATGAATGCTGGAAATATCAAAGGTGAATATGAGCCCTATCACCTGCAATGTATACCACATAAGATGCATCTATGAGATGGTTACATGTGCGATTATTATTAACCCACAACATGGTGTTTGCGAGTTAACTTGCTGAATAATTTGATTTAGAGCATAATTTCCAGATTTTTTATTCAAGATAGTTTATCTTGATAAGTTGGTTTACATCACAGCTGGTTTAGAAAAATGATTTATTCAGTGCATCCACTTAATAGCTAAACTATTGCTTATGAGAATAAAGTTATCTATATCAGTTTTGTTTACCGTGAAAATGGTAACATCAATTAAATTTGTAAATGGGACTCTAAAAATACGTGATTTAATTTTATGCTAGTTGTTAGAGCAGTTGATGCTAAAAGTATGAAGTTTTAACGATGAGATACGAGCTAAAACGGGGCAGTAATCAAACCGAGGGGCCTGCTGCCCGGGCTTCGGACGGGTCGATGAAGGACCTCGGGGTCGATATCCGGCTCGAGCCCGAGCCATAGGGGATGACCGGGAAAGGGATGACAGTTAGAATATAATTAAAGAAAGCTCTTTATGGCCAATAACACGCAACAAATGAAGAACAAGTATGAAGGCAATAAATGCTAAAAAGTAGCCTCGAACAAGTAAGAGCGAGCAAGTTAGAGAGAAGAAAGAGAGAGAGATATTATTAATCTTGAGTGGAGTAGTTGGAGCAACAACAACCCCTTACAAGGTAGTGAAGATTCCCTTTATATAAGAGGTGAATCCGATTATGGTATAACATGCATTAATTATAAAAGCATGGAGATGGGACGGCTAGTTGTGACGCCTCGACACGGGCTCTGGGTAGGCCGGCTCTGTCAGACCTAGCCATGTGTTTTGGGAGTTCCCCACTTTGCTCTAGCCTCGATCTTCGTCTTCTTTGAGTCGGGTCTCGACGAGCCTCGAGGAAGGGGACTCGGCCGTAACTCCGCGTCCTCGGGGCCACGAGGTATCCTTCCGAACTGACTTGATAGCAAGAAATGATGCCCTCTGATTTCAGCGCATACAAGTTTGATATAGGTTATATACGAAAGTACATTACATTCTCTCCTCACAAGTGGTTTAGGGTCAGGAACCAAATAATTCTATCTTATTATTATTGATATGCGGTGTATATTTTGATTAACACCATAACGCACAAAGATAGATCTTCAAAGTTGAGAAAACAAGTTAGTTTTTCTAATATGAGGGGGAGACATGATAAGCAGTTTAGAAAAAGTTACGTGGAATGAATTACCATTTCCAGATCTAGATCCTCGAATAAGATAATATGAATTTGAAGTTTATAGAAGATAATTCATCTGCAATATATTGTAAAGCATGCCGGACGCATTTGCTGACCCAAAGAAAGTAATTGTATTCTCATTGCAAATGCTCCTATTAAGTCCTAGAAGGACAAATTCTATGGTTAGCTTAAAGCGTATAGACAAATTGGTTTCAAATAAACTTCTTGATAAAGAAGATGAGCAAATGATCAAAATGATCATTATAAAGGAGGCCAGTGATCTAGAAGATCACATGACATAACACTTCATAAAATCTCAAGAGAGATTCAGGTACTTGAATATATGAATGAAGAGATCTCTATGTTATGTCTATATGAAAATAAGGAGGTTGGAACTGCGATATAAAATATTTGTCGACGACATCGATAATATCGCTAAATATATATGAGGATCTTAAGACTGGAGAAACAATTCAAGTAGAATTTGGTTTCTTATGAAAGACATAAAGTCAATGGTATGTGCAATCAGTTTTCGATATCTTATATGTCTGGCATGACATGAAAACTTGATGCAAATCTAAAGTCTATTTATATGGCTTATTTGACTATACTTATACGATAACCCCTGAAGGATTTAAATTGCTTGAAGCATACACAATTCTTGATCTTGAAGTACCACATTCTCAGTGCAATTTGTGCATATATGTATCTTGCTATAATTATAAGCATGATAATATGATAGCGAGAATCTCTATGGAGATATTGAAGAGCCATTCCACGACATTATATGAAGACATTATATATCTATCAAGAATGATGATTTCAAGGTGCAATATATTCATTCAAGTTAAAATGGTTGATTTGTTCATCAAATGTCTACCAAAGATCTTTTGAAGATGGTGCACAAGATTGGAATGTAAATGCTTAAGGATGCGAATTGATGCTCTCATCAGGGGGAGTTAATACGCGTTGTACTCTTTTTCCCTTACAAGGTTTTGTCCCACTGCGTTTTCCTTGCAAGGTTTTTAACCAGGCAACCAAAAAGGCGTATTGTTAGATATGTGTACTCTTTTTCCTTTTCTAGAATTCTTTTTCCCATTGGGGTTTATTTTAGTTAAGGTTTTAACGAGCACATTATCTGTTGAATAGACATTCAAGGGGGAGTGTTATAAATAGAATTGTATTTATGGTGGATGTCTATATTTAAGAGATTCTAGGGTTCATTGCTTGGTGGCTAAGTCACCCTCTCCCTATAAATAGAGGGTTCTATTCAATTGTAATTCATCCCAAAATCAATAACAATTCTCTCTCCCTACTTTTCTTTGCAATACTGTTCTTCTTCTCTTATTGTTTTATAACAAGAAGGAAATATTTTCAACAAGTTATTAGCAAGAAAGGGAAAGAAATAATTTGTGCTTTCAACCAAATAAGACATGTTTTACTTGGGACTTCCTTTTTCTATGATGATTGATTCTCCATATTACAATCTAAAAGTTACTACTCCCTCGATTTCAATTTAAATGACACACTTTACTTATTAGTCCGTTAAAAAAAAGAATGACAAATTTACATATTAAAAAATAATTTAACTTTGATTTTTTCATTTTACCCTTAATGATAAACTTTTATAGCCACACAAATATTATGACCCCACAAAGCTTTTACCCTTAAGCTTTTAGGACAACATGTTCAAAAGTCTTCTTTTATTTCTTAAACTTTGTGCCAAGTCAAACTACCTCATCTAAATTGAAACGGAGGGAGTAATAAATATTCCGTTCAGTCTGTATGCGTGCATCTTTCCAATGGTACTGAGGACGCCATTTAGACAATATTAATTGAACGATAAGAGTACTCCTACATCACAGGATTCTTTGTGCCCCCACTAAATCTCTCTTAACCTTGAGAAAGTTTCCAGCATTTTCTGTCATTTCCATTTCAAATTTACATGCCAAAGATTACTCAATATTAGAGAGGTATTGTCCTCGAGTGAGGAGTATCACAGCTATGGTATTGGTGAATTGGTTGAAGAAAGCAGGACCCAAGCCTGACAAACTTTGAGCACCCGAAGCTTCAAACCATATGTAATCAAGAAGAACCAGTTGGAAGAGCCATAGCAGTCTGACTGTATAATATCAGCGGCAGGGTCACTACACCAGGGACGATTATTTCTTAAAGAGAGATGTGATTCAAATTTGAAACCAAGGAGGAGGCAAGCTCATATCAGCTAGGGCATCACTATCTTTGGAATGGTCAACTGGAGTAGGCCGAAGAATGGATGTGTTGCTAGCTAAGTCAGCGCTCAGGATCTGAAAATTTGTTGACCTCTCAATAGTCAATCAAGTGATCAACTATGCCTCAATAGCAAACTAGTTGGGGTCGATTGATTGAGTCCTCCTGTATCTACCAAGAGGATTTATCATGGTTAGACTATCTCTATGCTGCCTGTCTACCTACTGTAATCCTTCTCCTCAATTCAGGCTGGGGACCGAGTTTGCTTGAGACATATAAGTCATGGAGTTAACATTGTCGACCTCTCACACAGAAATTTCCAGCTAAGAACAAATTAAAATATTGCGCTTCTTAATTATCGCCTGTCAATCATTGGTAAATGAATCTATACAGATATCTTGTATACTTACTCCTCAAACTGCAACGAGAACATGACATCAGGCACATATCCTGAATCAAACAATTGGGCCGTCAACCCAGTCAAAACTTGATGCAGATAGCTTTCTTGAAGGGACATAATATTACATGCAGAGAATGTATATATTTTGTTCTGCAACTCAGTCCAACTATATCCAGTTTCCTTCTTTAATGATTTCTCCTTTATCAGCTTTCTCATCTTGGCCGTTTCATCCCACATCTGTAGCTCCGCATATATATTAGACAATACGATATAGGCTGAAGTATCATCTGGATCGATACCTAAAATCTTTTCAGCGGCATATTTCCCCAAGATGAAGTCTCTGTTAGCTTTGCAACCAGACAAGAGGCACCGCCACACCACCTTATCTGGCTCCCCTGGAAAGCTCTTTATAAAACCATAAGCTTCTTTTGTTTGTCCTTTGCGTGCAAACAGACTCACTATACAAGCCAAGTGATCTGTCCTTGGAGTGATTCCATACACCTGGGTCATGCTATTGAAGTGATGAAGTCCCTCATCTAAAAGTCCAACGTGTCCACAAGCAGATAATACTCCAAGAAATGTGATATCATTAGGTTTAATGCCATTACTTTGCATCGTAGCATAAATCTCTAAAGCTTCTTTCCCAAACCCATGTTGAGCATATCCTACAAGCATGGTGTTCCAAGATACCAAGTTTTTCATAGGAAGGACGTCGAAAACTCTACGTGCATCAACAAGTCGTCCGCATTTAGCATACATATCAATGAGGGCGCTCCCAACAACCACATTGGAATCAAATCCAGGCTTCAGAACACGACAATGGGATTGTTTGCCCCACTCAATAGCTGGTAAATCTCCACAAATGCTCAAAATGCTAGAGTAAGTGTAAAGATTCGCTTCGAGACCCTCAAGCAACATCTCCTTGAGAAATCTCATAGCATCTTCATACCGACCTGAGCTCACACAGCCAGCAATTAGCGTATTCCAGCTAACAACATCATGTTCTTTCATTTCTTGAAAGAGCTTTAATGATTCCTCAAACAGGTCACTTTTGGAGTAAAAATCTAACAACGCATTGCATACAAAACTAAATGAGTTGAACCCCAATTTTACAATCCGGCAATGGATCTGTTTCCCAACTCTAAGTTCTTTTACATTTGCAAAAGCTCCAAGAATTGATGAAAATGTTTGCTCACTTGGTTTCAAGTCCGAGTCGAGCAACCAACAGAAAAGGTTAACGGCCTCTCTTGCACCCCCTAACTGCACACAGCCACCAATCATTGCAGTCCAAGCATGCAATTCTGGTGCATCTGCCTCATCAAAAGCTCGACGTGCCAAGTCCAATACACCACATTTTGCATAAAAGTCAATCAAACCAGTCACCAAAAATTGATCCATCGCAAAACCAGACTTGACAATCAGACTATGAATTTGCATCCCAAGTTGCATACTTTTCATAGCAGCACAAGCATTCAACACACTCCCACAGAAAAACTCATTCACTATCCTCCCTACCCTCAAAGCCAACAAGAAAATCCTCAACCCTTCCTCATACTCCCCACACTGGCAATAACAAGAAATGAGAGAAGCCCAAGTTACAGAATTGGGTTCCAAAATGCCATCAAAAACCAATCTTGCTGACTTCAACAACCCACATTTGCCATAAAAATTAACCAGACAATTAGTCACAAAACTATTAAGGCTCTCCTCAGTTCTATACATCCTCCCATGTAACTCCTTCCCTGTCCTTTCAGCTCCTAAGCTAGTGCAAGCTGATAAAGCAGCTACATATGTATAACCATTTGGAGCAAACCCATCTTCAAGAACCATTGATCTAAAACAACCCAAAGCTTTTTCAGACATACCCATTTGAGAATATGTGGAAATCAACGTTGTCCAAGAAATGATATTTCTTTCAAGCATTCTGTCGAACAGTCGTTGGGCATCATCGAACTGATTGAGCTTTAAGTACATGGCGAGCAAGTGATTGTTTGTGAAAACGTCTGCTTTGGACCCAAATTTGAGTAGCTTTGCATGGACTGCCTTGCCATTGAGCAGGGACTTTGAACGGGTGCATGCCCGAAGGAGTGGAGTAAAGGACATGAAAGAAAATATAGAGTAATAATGACTACAGTGAATATGTAAAATATTTACCTAGTGATTTCTAATTTTAAACTCAAACATAAACTTAGGCTATATATAACTTCTTGAAACTTTTGAGAAGAATAATTTTGCCTAATGGTATCTGAATGTAAGTTATGAGTTGACTAGGAGATAAAATGGTTAGTATTACTTTTTATTGTTTTAATGATTTATGGATTTTTTTTTCTTAAGGAATTGGCTCATCACTTGTTATCATTGAATCGTGTTAGTTATCCTATTAATTAATGTATAACTTAATTCTTTTAGATCTTCACTAAAATAAGTTATAATACTATGAGCTAGTGAAAGTGTCTAATAATTTCTTGTGGTACTCACAATACATCCCACCTAACAATAATAAAAGTTTAGTGACTTCAAATTAATCACCTTTCAAGAATAAGAATTAGTATATGTTTCCTCTAACCAACTTTTGGAGCAAATCAGAAGACACTTAATTATCATGATTGGCTTAATACACACACCCCTCTCCAGCTTGCACATTTCTGGTTTACATACCCTAAAAAACGAGTTTCTTTTTACACTATTTATGGTACATTGGTACTTCCTAATTATTTTTTATTTTTATTTTTTTTACTTCCTAATTATTGAATCCCAAATCTCAAGGAAGAAACCTGTATACGGTAGAAACCGGGCTCGTCTACGACGTGGTAGATCAACTTGAAACATGAGGGACTAAAGATCGACCCCCGGTCCCATCGGGCCAGAACCCGAGATCAGAATGTCCGTCCTCGAGAACATTGAGTCTGTGATCCCGGAATAGACCCTGACCCCGAACGAGCTTGAGGAAACATTGTTAATGTAACCAACAGAAGATCGAAATAACAGAAGGTCGAAATATCCGTGACCGGTCGGATATTACGGCGGGAATCTCGGCACGTGTCATTGCGGAACCAGCAAATCAACAAACTAGGAGATTTTTACCTTCTATAGAATTGTACCTAAAGTAGGACTCCCCTGCTATATAAAGGGGGTCTGATTACTTGTAAAATATATTGTAACACGCATTCCATATTATTATATTATTATTTTCTTTCTTTAAGCTCTTGTTCTTCAGTATCTTCATATCGATCGAATTGTATCCAGTTCAAGTGTGATCGATTTTTTTAAGGCTGTAACTATTCAAGTTATGCGGTTTGAATTTACTTTACCATTGCTTATTTCAATTGTATTTTCAATTTATCGCTTTGTGTCAATTTAATCCACGTATCCTTAAAATCACTTACAAGTTCAATTGTTATCCGATTTTGAGGATAACAGTTTGACGCCCACCGTTGGGCTAAGAATAGTGGTTGTTTGACACAAATTTCTATAACACACACTCCTTTACACTGGTTCTTTGAAGTGCCTCTAGTATCAGGTTAAAGCTCAAAATGTCAAACCCACAATTGGCACCCCTACCTGTTGACAATGAATCCGGTCACCACAGTGAAAATAACAACATAGCGCCTTGTAACGAGGTACCGTCCGCTGATCCCATCGGAATTCCAATCGCCGACTCGTTAGACGCTGACTCACATGTGGATATCGACACAAATCTGCCTACCGACCCCGCTAATAGCATCCGTGATGGAGCCCGATCGGCACTGCAAAATACTCAAAAAAATGGAGGGGATGGGATCAATTTACGGATGATCTTCGAAATGCTACAGGCTCAATAGGCGGCAATAGCTCAGCTACAGAACCAAAGCCGTGCACCGAGCAGAATTGAACCTGATCCGTCTGGGAAAGTCACCCGCAGGGACGAAATGGTCGCAGAGAGGTCGAATGGAAATGAATTGGGGACTAATCCCGAGATCATAAAAATGCTCGAGGAGCTGACAAAACGGATAGAATCAGGGGAGAAGAAAATTGAAGCAAATGACAAAAAGGTAGAAACCTACAATTACAGGGTCGACCAAATCTCGGGAGCGCCGCCGATACTAAAAGGCCTGGATTCCAAGAAGTTTGTGCAAGAAACTTCCCCTCCGAGTGTGACTCCAAAGCCGATCCCTAAAAAATTCCGCATGCCCGAGATTCCTAAGTACAACGGAATGACTAACCTAAATGAGCATGTCACCTCCTACATATGTGCCATCAAAGGGAACGACTTAGTGGATGATGAGATCGAGTCTGTTCCGTTGAAGAAATTCGGAGAGACCCTATCAAAGATAGCTATGATGTGGTATCACAACTTATCTCCTATTCTATTGACTCATTCGCTATGCTTGCAGACTCTTTCGTGAAAGCACACGCCAGGTCTATCAAGGTCGAGACTAGGAAGTCGGACCTTTTCAAAGTAAGACAAAAGGATAATGAGATTCTCAGAGAGTTCGTGTCCCTGTTTCAAATGGAACGGATGGACCTACCACCGGTTGCTGATGATTGGGCCGTCCAAGCGTTCACCCAGGGACTCAATGTTCGAAGCTCAGTGGCTTCATAGCAGTTGAAGCAAAATCTGATAGAATATCTGGATGTTACTTGGGCGACGTACATAACCGGTATCAATAAAAAGTCAGAGTCGAAGATGACCAACTTGGGGCCCCTTCGGGGTCTGTTTGTCCCGTCAAAATCGTCGACGGAGTCAAGAGAGATATCGATCGTGAATCGAGGTCAAACAGGGATCAGTGTCATCCTTACAACAGAGATCGACGAAGTAGTGGGTCCAGGCGGAATTCTATGCGAAGAGAAAGGAGAAGTGATTGAGGTCAGAGAAACCGGGGACTCATGAGCAAGAACGGTGTCGACAGGCCTATCGGTCCTAAGGAAGCATTGAGGTTATTGGAATATAACTTTAACGTCGATGCTGCCGCCATTGTATCAGCTATCAGACGCATCAAGGACACCAAGTATCCTCGACCTCTACAATCCAATTCAGCCCAAAGAGATCCTAACCAGATGTGCAAATATCATGCACTGACATCCACAGTACAGAAGATTGCCGACAGTTGAGAGAGGAAGTAGCCCGGCTATTCAACAACAGGCACTTTCGAGAATTCCTGAGCCATCGAGCCAAGAACCATTTTAGGAATAGGGATACTAATAAACAGATCGAGAAGAACCTCAACACGTCATTAACATGATTATTGGTGGATTCGATGTCCCTCAAGGGCCGATGTTGAAATGCATCAGGGTATGCATCACAAGGGAAAAACATACTCGAGATTACATGCCGAAAGGAACCTTCTCTTTCAACGACGAGGACGCGGAAGGAATCGCGCAGCCCCATAACGATGCATTGGTAATATTTGTACTCATAAATAAATCTCGAGTTAAGCGTGTGTTAATTGATCTAGGTAGCTCGGCCAATATCATCCGATCGAGGGTGTAGTACAGCTCGGCCTACACTATGAAATCGTTCCTGCGGTCCGAGTTCTGAACGAATTCAATATGGCATGTGAAACCACTAAGGGCTAGATAACATTACCAGTGAATGCTGTCAGGACCATCCAAGAAATCAAGTTTTATGTGATCGGGGGAGAGATGAGGTACAACGCCTTCGGGAGGCCATGGATCCACAACATGAGGGCAGTACCCTCGACTTTGCACCAAGTGTTAAAATTCCCAACACCTGGAGAGATTAAAACAATCTACAAAGAGCAGCCAGCCGCGAAGAAAATTGATGTTTTATACTTCAATACCACACAAGAGGAGGGGGGGGGGGGGATGGGTGATTTGTGTGGTGACCAATTTTTCACTTAAACTGATTATGGAAGGACCTGGTTCTTCTAAGTGTTCCTTAACCTACTATTGCAAAAATAGTAAATGCGGAAAGTAAAGAACACAAGTATTTTACATGGAAAACACCTGGCTCAAAAGGTGAAAAACCCACGACCTACTTTCCAGTAGGATTTTGCCAAACTCTCTACTAAAATCACTGAGCCAAAAACTGCATTTACAAAACTATTTTGTAAACCTAGGACTAACTCTAATCCCATTATAGCACACAGCCTCAAACGGTTGCGACAACTTCAAGTTAACTCTAACTTGAAAACTCTGAGTACCTAATACAATTGCTTCTAGATAAAGCTGAAAGGTACAATATGAAACACCTACTACAATTGAACTAGAATAAAAGACAGACACTTGGAACTGGTTCATTTATCTGGTTCAAGTAGCTTCAGGTTTGCACACTTAAATCACACATGAACTACTTGCAAAATTGCCTTGCTATTTTGCTCTCAATTCACGTTTAACTTCTACTTATGTGCGTTACCTGTAAAAGAGAACAACACTAATATTTATAGAGTTAGTAAATTGAGATTGCCTAGAATTCTGATGCTACTCTTCCTTGGTGGAAGAGTTCTAGTTGATCTCAACGTCTAACTCATTCCCTTTCTTAAACCGTGTTCCCTTTGAGTAAGAAGCCCTCTCCTTATCATTTATGCAACCTTTTCGATCAGGATCAGGAGATATCCAAGCTGTCAAGTTAGGTTTATCTCTTTCACGTTCACCCTACATGCTTAAGTCTATCCACATCTATGCTCCACTGAGATGGACCTGGTTCATGTTGGAGTTCCTTTGTCAGTCTTCAAAACTAACCTTTACTTGGGCCAACAAATTTCCCCTTTTTAATGATGACAAACTCTGTGCTTTTTGTACTCTTAGGCCCTGCCAGATTCAGCTCAACATCGATGAAATGTTAGAAATATTTTCAACTCATTATCAAGGACCAGGTTCATTAGGTTATAAACATCACTATTCAGAATATAAAGCACAATTTCTTTTCCGCGTTTTGGCATCACCGAAAAGTTGCATAAACAATGTGTGATATCCAGATTTTAAAAATTACTCATGGCCACTGAGGCAACTGCAAATGCATTCATGGATTAATCATCAGTAATCAACTACACATATTCAAACTATCAAGGAAAGATAAACAGTCAACAAGAGCAAAGAAGCAAACTTCATTGATAGAGAATATGATTCTGCCACAATCCACAAAAAGAAACAAAAACAGTTAAAACATGAGCAACAAAAGAAAAATCCCTAATCTGGGTCACTAAAAGGTCTAGGCAAGGTTCAGGCTTAGGAAATCAAGGCTTGAAAGAACTGGGGTTTCGGGTTTTGGCTTGGAGAAGGTGCAGCATGTTTTGAAGAATTCCATCATTCTTCTCCTTTTCCTTTGTGAGCTTAGTTCTGAGAGCATCTCTCTCAGATTCTA